TCTCTCAAGGTAGTCAAGCAAATTGTTGTTGCCCCAACGCAGTGACTTGACAAGGTATTTTCCTTCTTATGAACTTCCACAGTCAACTATTAATTGTTCTGAAAGCAATCTTTAATTCTGGCAGTACTTCCTTTTATCATAGCACACCCCAGAAATGCTCTTAAGAAAGCCTTCATAGCTGTGATTCTCCAACTAAAGGGCCAACCATCAACTTTTAAGGTTTCTCACAGACTACTAGGCATCCTTATCAAATTTCTACACTGAAATGATTCTAAATGCACATGAGGAAAAATATGCAGATCACATTTGAGAACCACTGCTGAGAAGCTACCCTAACCGTAACACCTCTCCGGAGCCAAAAGTCTCTATATTCACTTGCCTGGCCATTAGCAGCTGCCACGTGCACTTCTAGCAGCTCCAGTTCCATAATCACTCAACTCAGCTGCTGTACTACCGCAATAAAAGCTGCAGCCTAGGATGGCACCAGGTGCTGAAAGGATCATGGTAGCCAGCAGAATGGGCATGAGTCAACGTGCCTTCTGCCATCTGACAGCAGAAGTCTTACACTGCTCCGTACAGACTGGAGGGTTCTTGCTGCAAAGCAGCTTTGGGTGTGGATGCAACTGTACTTCTGCCAGCTGAAGGAGAGGTCTTTCAGCAAAGCTCTGTGATGTAGACTAGGCCATAGCTTACAGTCTTTTAACTCAAGTAGGACCCTCCAAATAACTACTACCACCAAAAACAATATAAAAGCAAGTAGCTGGAAACAAACACATGAATGAGTTCAAGTCCTACATACAAATAACTGGTAAAACTCTTTCAAATGCACAGATAAAAGGTGTTCGCTATTTAAGTGTTAAGAATGGTTATTTCACAGAGCTGGTCACGTGCTTCCTGCTTTTAGTATGAGAGTCTGTATCAGGGATTCTCAACCACAGCCCTGCAAGATCCTTTGAAGGGTGACCCAGGCTAAGTGGAGATAAACTGGTAAATCCAGGCTCAGCCTCTTCCCTGCCTGGCCACTGACACACTCCCACTTCCTGGCCCCTCTTTCAGGAGCCATGCACTGGAATAAATACAATAGTTTTTTAAATGGAATGCCACTCAGTTCAGAAGTGTTATGGAAGGGTGTCTTGAATCTAGGAAGACAGGAGAATCCCTGGTCTAGGATTTAGTGATGCAAGATATCTTTTGACAATGCAGTTCTCAAAACAAACAATAAAACTGAAAGCAGCACCAGATTTTGATCTGCAACCAAATAGATAAACACCTGTAAATATTAGGTATTTATAAGGCAATTTATGACATTACTAAATATAAATAAGTTCTCCTTAGCTGGATGAGTCTGCACTGCCTTGTACTCTAATTTGGTAACTGGAAGAAAAACAGGTAAAAAATACACAGGATGGTCTAGTTGCTACAGAACAAAACTAACAGACACAGGAGAAATACTGCAATAGGTCACACCACAGCTACTGTCCAAAACCCTGGAGATACCAAATGGCAAAAGGCCTTTCAAACTTTGCAAGAAAAACAATAAATTGTTTAATACCCATGCTGGATGCCTTATTACTACTGAAGTATGGTTAAATTTATTTTTACCTTTAAAAAAAACTGTGTGGGAACTTGAACCAAGAACACCAAGAATAGCAGATTAAGAGAAATTAGCAAGACCAAGCTGCACACACGCTCTTTCTTGAATAGATTTTCCTAATATTTTACGGTTCCTTTAAATTTGTGGGTACATTCTCACCAGAAGCCCAGTTATCCTTTCAGCAGCAAATGCCCGATGGTTTTCTTTCCTACCTCCAAGTCCCCCCTTCTCCCTGAATACCCACCCCTGCACTCCTGCAGAGCTTCAGAAACTTTACTGGGGCTCCAACAGTAGAGTATATTGCCAAGCTAATGTCTAGAGGTTGGTATAAAACATTTAATTCAGCTCTCATTCTAGTAAGTGACCAAAAAGCAGCTGAAATCTGCTTTAAAAAAAGCAGTAATCACCATGCCAGAGAATTAGTGCAAAACTGTTACTTGCTTTTTCAACCTTTGATCCCCTTAGCTTCAATCACACCTCCAAAGAAGCCTTGTTTAATCTTCTCCCAAACTCCCCAGGTCTATTCTAAATGATAGGCTAAGAGATTTTGAACACTACTCTCCCCATAACATCTTAGCTGTAAGCAAGCAAGAACTGGTACACATTTAATGAGTCAATCTTTGTGTGGATTTTAGGCAGACGGTATACAGACCATAGCGATCTTTTTTTACCCTGTTAAAATCACAAAGTACCATCATCTTTGGAAAAACCATCTGATACATAATATACATCAGAAGCATTTGTCACAATTGTTACTTCAGCTATTCTTTCGAACAGAAATTTCCAGTGCAACCTGGAACACCTCAAAACAATAAATCTTCTTTTTGGAAGGATACAAAGTATCTTTCTAACAAGTTCCAGCTATAAAGAAGGTTGTATATGCATTCCTTGAATTGTGTAGCTTGATTGCACAAAGATCAACAAGAATATTATCTTTAGTTGTAAGTTAATGGTTGGTGGTGCAAGTTAATGTTATTGTAAATTTCTCAAGTGAAGGTAAAAACAGTTTCCCGAGGCAGTTCAAAATCTAAAGCATCTTTTCTATACAGTTACCACTACCATTGCTGTCTTGCCTTAGAGAAAGGAGCAGGAACACAGCCACGGATATAAAAATGAACACTGCAGAAGTGTTATAATAGAGGGGCATATTGTGCTGTGGAGGAGGGCCTTGATTAAACACAAGGACCTAATCTGAAGTCTTCAGTGCTAGGATAGAAAGGTGCACAGCAGTTAGCTGTGAGAAGAGCCAAGTGAAAAGAAGATATTGTTCAGAGAATTAGAAAAACCAGAATGGGTAAATAAACCACCAACTAAGAAAGTAAAAGTAGAAAAGGAGTATTTTTATACAGCTTTAAGACAAGAAAAAAACCTGTAAAATTTATACAGAAAATTCTTAGTCATTGGGCATCAGAGAAGGCAGGTTCGAGAAAACAGTAGACACATCATCACTGCTATCCACCACTTTTGCTGCACGAGCTGAAGGATTTGCTGGATGTTTATGCTGTGGTAGATACATCAAGGCAAGCTCCAAATGGCATAATAAAAGGCTGACATCTATACAGCTTATTTACGTTTCTAACCATGTTAAGCAACAGCCTCAAGGCCCGCTTTTGCCCCAGGCAACACATCTATGCCCAGGGCTTACAAATACATAGCAGGCACACTGGCAGAGGAACCCGTTGCGTAGACAGCACTTCAGATTTCAGGACTCCAGCAACTACACCTTGAACAAACACACCTGGAGCAAGCATGTACCCTCACGTGGCCAACATCAAAACATTGAGGTGGAATGAAAAATGAATCATTTTGGCACTAACTCTCACATTCACCGACTACTGACAACTTTGCACACTCCTGCAAGCAAAAGAAACAGAGCACCTTAGACACCCAGGACATATCCTCCCGCACCACCACAGCTCAACCAAAATTTGGTTGCCAACTTGTCAATGCTCCTCTCCGTGGAAGTCTTTAGTAAGAGGCAAAAGATTTACATGAGCTCAAGAGAAACCAGACCCTGAGCAAAAACGGTGGGATCACCCAACCAAGAGAAACTGCTGTAAGCCCCAAGCCTCAGCAATTTAAGCGCTCTGATGAATGACACCACCTATGCTCCATGTTGGCCACCTCCCCTACCCCCTGCAGTGGGGGTGCTGGGATGAGCATACAGCTCCCAGCTCCCCATGGCCAACAGAGCAAGCTGCATTAGGCAAGAGGTTCAAATACAGGCACAGACATTCACCCCCTGCGGCTCAGAAAGAGCCAGGCACCATTTCCAACCCCATCCCGGCTATCCCATCTGCCTGCCTCTTTCTGCTGCTCTCAGGGAGAAGAGCCGATCCCGCTGCTAGATCCACTGCCATGTCTCCTCGGAGGGCCGTGTGGTCTCGGGGCCCGCGGGGGTTTCAGCGTGGCAAGACAGCCGATGCCCACTGGTCCTGCCTTCGGTGTCCAGCAACTGGGCCACGCTGACCTGCTGTTGGCAAGGCCGAGGCTAGCCCCCCAGTCCTGCCCCAGCCTGGGCCAGGGGGGTGCACAAGACAGCGGCACACGTGGTGCCCAAGGGGGAGGGGAGAGGAGCCCCCCAGCCCCGCCCTTGGCACCCTCCAGCCCGCTCAGGGGCTGCCCGAGGCACACGGGGAGGGGCCCAGCCCGGCCGCGGAAAGGAGAAGGGAGGGTGGAGATAAGGGGGAACTGGGGCGGGGCGGGG